CCACAATCTATCTACTTGTTCACACTGACACGCCCATATCAGTGTATGGTAATATTTGTTACACGCAAATTGTAACCTTTACGCTTTCGTTCTTTACTGCGCTCGCTGGTTCTTTTCATCATCTTCATCCCTCAATGCAACTACACGTTATCTCGTACCGATACATCCACTCTGCCGCGGTGCTTCAATGCACGTTTGTTACAACCCATATCTTCCCGTTTATTCTGGTCATGGACTGGTTGTGCTCGAGATGCGGTATCTGTTGAAGATTTTGTAACAACCGACCTTAGTCGAGTTACTTCAACCTGCACCATGCAGGATAGTGCGCCCTCGTTCCTCTGACTGATATCCGGAAAAACTAGCGTACAAATATACGCATCGAATTTCCGAGCGAGATAACTGTAACAAATATCCATTAATAGGTCGTTTCCACGTATGATAAACAGCAATGAAATTTCACCGCGGTTAGGTGGAATTAAGAACACAATATTTGACAATGAGGTTAGTGGTAAGTAATGTACAACATTCCCGTTGAGGTCCATCGGATCACAATTTTGTTTATTTAGAGGAATCAACTTCACTAAAAGGAGCTGTGATCAGTCAGCGTTGTTTATTTCTGTCTGTCTGTTTGTCTATCTGTCTGTCTGTCTGTCTCTGTGTGGCCACTTGAAGCATTAAAAACAGTTGTCCAGTATCACCAATTGTATGAGGCCAGTGCCCATGACTGATTGCCATTAAGGGAAACAAGCCTCCTTCTCACATAAGCGTGAGTCCAAGGCTAGATACAAATCAATATTAGCCTGAAAGCCTGCTGCAAGAGAGATCATTTGTTGCACGTGGAAAATCATGATTTAACAATCTAGTCATTACAACTATATCTTATTTGTTCTCATTGATGTGATGCACTACTCACAGTTGCCGCTCCAGTCGAATGTCAGGGTAGATACCACTGCCACATGCATTTCGTTGTTAAGCTGATGGTATGATACACTAGATGAATGACTCATATCTCCTTTGCTTTACCATGTTAGAACTTTTGTCACCGTAAATAACACCGGCTTTAACTTTTGTGTCACCTGCACCGACCTGGTCACTACTGCTCATCGCTCCCTTATCCCCCATTTGGTCTACATATCCCATTCCCCCTCCACCCCGCACATCGTCAGTGCTGACTCCGGAACATGCGGGTAGTGTGCGAGCATGGGCATGGCAACGAGACGCGACAATACTGGATATGCGTGCTTACTACCAATTTACCGAAGATCAGACGACCGCCAGTTCCAAACGGATCTATTTGCAACGCTCCGGATGTTCGGCCGATTCCACACCGGAACGTCTTGCTGTGGTGGTTTTATCAAGTAAGCCAGATAAACTGGGTGTGATCAGAGTGATTATTCAGTGGTAAATTTTCCTTGATAATAATGATCAGTAAAATATAATTTGTATGTGTGTGGGGGGGGGAGGGGGTAATCCGCTTGAACTGAAAACCATCAGATGTTCAGTTTTTCACTCTGGCTATCAGTCTGTCATTCACAGATTAATGGTTGCTAATTTTTTTATCAACAACAGTGAAACTGAATTGGTGTGAACTGGATTAGGTTTATTTCACACCACCTGTAAATTGTGCTAGCCCTGGATTCACCTCATCAGCCGCGCGGATTCATTCACCGATTGTTGAAGTTGTCGGATACCAATGGAACGTATATTCCCTGTTGATATGCCAAGGACAGTGTGGCGGTGAATCTTGAATTGGACTTAGTCTGTTTGTGCTAGACCGGTCACTTTGGTCCCTGATGCGTTGGTACTTTCACACCAGCACCATCCAACTCTGTGTAGAATCAACGATTGGGGACCACAGTGGATAGTGGATAAAAACAAACTGCATTCGATTCGGCGTTCTGCTAGAAGAACGTGCTTTTCAGCGCTGTTCGAGGCCATGAACATGCAACAGATGTTATTCTGAGGCCCACGGACAGTCCCAACTAGTAGACTATAGTGAATTGCCTCAACGGCATGATGATGCGTGACAAATTTTGTAATGTCGCGTGGCCTTTGTTGGTCCCGTTTAATGTGTAACACCTCTGTATGCTTCAGCAGGTACAAGCTCTGACCTTTCTCAATCTGAAACCCCTCTTTTTGCCTGAACAGCAGGTGGTTGTTGAATAAGCATCTCCGAGTGTGCAGGCAACCAGAATACATCGGGCATGCAGCACCCCTACTTGTCTGCACGCAAAGCCAAGTTGACCTTGTCTTAAATACTGAGCAACATGTGTACATCCTATGGGATCAATTCTTTTCCTTTTGTCTCATGGTTCAAATGTTGATTTTGAAATTTGGGATTGTACTTGACAGGTGATTTATTCCAATTTGAATTGAGCCCGAACAGATGGATGGTTTCCCGTGGAACATGTGCATTTAAACATGCTGAATTTCCAAGTCAAAATTACCCGCAGGATAAGGATGACATGTTTGTCTCCACTAATGGTGATACCAGTTCATTATTGGGAGACGATCCAGATTTAGATTGATTAATGAGAAACAGAGCAACGGAAATAATAATGGCACACATGATAGCCCTTGTTTTATCCCAATACGCATGATACATGTTTGCGTAATGAGTATTTATCCAGTAGTCAGACATGTTACTTTCGACTGGATCACTTTGGAGTCCTGGTCTAAAAAAACAATTGATTTCGCTTAACGGCTGAGCACATGAAACATATTCTGATTCTTTGCGAACTCATAACCAATGCGATTCAGTCGTGTTACACTTGAACGCAACCTCGCTGCTTCCAACCCCTGGTGAAGTGAAACACAGAACAACATGTGCATATCGATTCATTCTGCCTTAGGGGGGAGGGAGCAAGCTACATTGATGCAACCACTAACTGTTTCCTCAATTGCTCGAGTGAAAAGCACCCTAGTTGGTTGGATCAAGAAACAGCTGATTGGCAGCGATAACGACTGACCTAATCGAATCCGGGCATACAATTAATAAGAGAGAGAGAGAGTGAGATCCTTTCTGGACCCACTGTACACCATCAATGAAGAGCAAAGACGAGTGGTCGGAAATTGCATTCCGACCATTGCAGAGACAAAAACAATTGATATTTTGAACTGCCCTGAATGTACTTAGAAGCAACACGTTACACGAATTAGCATAGCCTGACCATCTGTCAAAACCCGCGAAATGCTAAGTCACTTGATATTGCGATGGAAATTACAAAAGCACTACTGGTTATCATGGCATCGTATAGTTTTCTGTTTTCAGCCAGTGATGCTGCACCAAAAACAGACCTGTTTGCTTCTCTCTCTCCCTCTCTGTTCAACTCTCTCAGTACTTCACTTTCATTCATCGTAACCAGCATATCTGAAAAGACATTCTCAATTTGATGAAAAACATTTTGTTCAACAGAACCCCATTCCCAAACCAGCGTACTTTATCGCACCCCGAGTGTGTGTGTACTAATTTTGGTTTTGTGTGTCTGGGGGTGGGGTGGGGAGGCTCTGGAGCACTCAGTTCCCATTGTACCCTCCCACTCGCTCGTGCATGCATCTCAGTTGATACAGGGGATAAGGTGGATTTGCTTGTCGTAGTGGCACAGCCATTTGTGATGCGTTCTTTATCACCTGGCTTAGTTGATTTTGCTATCTATCATGGACGGAGCGGATGTAGCCGGATTTAAAACCACCAGTAATTGCGTACCGAAAGCTGATGGAAAGAATCGAGTTGTCCAGTGCCTGAAAAGATATCAAACTTCTGACTATACATAACCTCGTCTGCCTCCGCAACATTTCCTCGTAACCTCTGCCATCGCCACTCGCTGCACGTAGGGAGCGAGATTGGGGAAAATTGTATAAAAACCGTTCGACCTTTGTTTTGAATGACCGTATAAATTGTGGACAGAGTTGCTCCTTGTTCGGTGACAAGAGTTCATGTAGCTGGTTTCTTTTAGATCAGAAGAATTTATCATTTCGGTGCATAAAACGTTTTTTGACTTGACTTGAAGAAGCATGCGAACCAAACTGGACAGGTGATCGGTGTATAACTGTCCTAGTGGCAAACAATGATACCGCTCATCTGGGCAGATAAAACATAGTTTTCATCGGGAGGAAATGCCTCAGGGCATACTTAGAGCGAGCTATTTCAACAGCGAAACACAAAGGCAAGCGTGCGAGTGAGGGAGAGGGAGATGGGTGGTTCTTTTTAAGGCTGCGATCACATGACGCTTGGACGATCCACTGAATAGTGCTTCTTGGTTCGGGAACAGTACTCGCCTGCACTTGCAGTAGTGAACTAAGTGAATCCTAGAAAGAAAATAAACCATCTGTATCTCCCTCTTTCAGCAATAAGATGCAAATCGTATTTAACTCCGAGCAAGGGTTACAGTCCGTTTTTATGATCCATAAAACCACCTGTCGTTCTGTGGAAAAGTGACACACTTTCATCTGAACTTCCCGCCTGATATTGAGAACCGATAAGGTATCAGCTCACAAAACATTTGAGAAACCTGAAACCGGAATAAGACTATTTTCTTGAGCATCATTTTTTTCATGAAGACCTGGATGAGATTCCAAAGAGGTGGTTGATGGACTTGGTGTTTTATTTGTGATGTTGTTTGAAGGCCGATTATAAGTTGTCGAAGCTGTTCCGTTACGTGGAAGTAGTGGAGAATGTGATGCGATCATAGGATGAATTCGGTAACATGAAACGCAATGGGAGTGTAAACTGAAAATCACTGAAAGCACTGAGCAAATGTTTATTCCTGGTTGGGTCTGATCAGCAGTGTGAATCCATCAACCCAACCGGGGGTCGAAGTCGGGACCTCATGGCGTACTTCCCACTTGACAACTGGTAGCTAGTCTGACTGTTTTTTTTTTACTTTACCGTATGCGATATGGCACAGAACAGGGCTGCAAGCTTTTCGGGAGCATCTTACCTCGCAATTTTCAGCCCTAGCACCCCACCCTCAAGGTTGTACCTCGACAAGAAACACTGCGAACCTGATTACTTCTTACATCGTCGTTTACGCGCCTACGCCAAAGGTATTTCAGCCCTGCGTGTGCTGCTTGAGTCTTGAAAGTTTGAGTGGCTAACTCCTCTGACGTAAGCGCTGCAAACGAGATGGCCACTCGCATTTCTAAGGCTCGAGCAGCATACGAAGGGCTCAAATACCTTTGGCGTAGATGCGATGTTTTACTGAAGTTGAAAAGTCGTGTACATTGTGCTACCGTTCGTTTAGACCTGCTTTATGGTTGTGAAACATAGAGTTTGCGAGTGGAGATATCGATCGACTAGGGGTTTTCGACTATCGATGTTTACGTTGTTTATCCCACATGGGACGGAGCGAACGGGTTAGCATTCTAGAGGTAAGTCGTCGGGTGTTTGGAAGTCTATCGGGTATAAACCTGCTAGCACAGTTTAGCAGACTTCGCTGGCTAGGACAAGTATTGCGTATGGTCAGCTACCGTCTACCACACCGCGCCTTATTTACCTCTCCGGGTTGGGTGAAACCACATGGAGATCAATAGATGACGTGGAGAAATGCACAGAGCCATTAGGTAGAGTAGGTGTCTCGCGCCTTCCGGTTTTGGGTCCGACAGACTCCGCAACTGGTTCATTGGGGACATTGAAGGATATGGCAGCGAACTGACAGAAGTGGCGTTCTTGTTGTAATTTCTTATCGGATCAGATTACTTGAAGCGGTATGCATGCAGGGTTCAATTGCGTACTCTGTGTTTTGACCATAGAGGTTCAACTTCGTCTTTCTCCTTCAAAAAAGTTTCAGTCCCTGTATACCATAAATTTTACCACTAACCTAGAATGCATTGCGAATTTGGTAGCGATCAGTGAACAACTGTCCAGTGCTTTTAATCAGCCTTCTGACACAATATTCTCATCGAACGTGTGGAGAATAGATAATCTGCCCGGGGGCTAAGATCGTCACAATAACAACATTACGTAGCTTTTTGTGTCCGTAAATTCGCATAGAACTACTAAGTCCATTGGTAATTTAGCACTCGGTGTTTTTTTGCAAGATTTACTTCATAAGTCAGTTCATCACGAAGTCCGTTTTACCGCCCCCCCCTCTATTCTCTTCACCACTCCTGATGTGCACAGTAATGGTGCACAATCACTCAGAGAGAATGCCTAAAGGCAGTCTGTATTCCACTCGTACTGTACTGAATTTTCGATTACCAATGAAGTTCCCAAGCACTATGGCTTGCAAGCACAGTTTCATTGCTGTTGTTGTTGTTGTTGTTGTTGTTGTTGTTGTTGTTGTTTCGAAATGTGTGCATATTTCGTGTCCGTGAACACTGATGAGGTCGATCGTAGTCTCGGGGGTATAAAGAGGGG